TACCTGAACCTGAGCTCCGTGAAGGAGGTGATGATCGGTTGCTGCGACCGGGACAGGGAGACCGAGTTGAGGAGCATTTGCAAGAGGTACGGCCTGTCCGGATCCGACTCGTGCATCGGCCTTATGTACGGCTCCAACCTGCCGGACAATCGACTCATCTTTCTCCTTTGCCCTCCTGCGCTTAGCAAGTAAGTAGCGCGCCACTACGATTTCTTCGCTCTTTTCGAGGTCTCGGCCATCTCGAGAAAGTAAACTCTAGTTAAAAATTTCGGATAAAGTTACTTTGATTGTTATTTAAAATTATAAATTGATCGATATTTACTCAATGGATATTATAATTGATCAGTATAATTTTGTTTGGTATATATGTATCGGTTATTCGATGCTTTGAATAATAATAAACTTTATCCTTAACTTTGAAAATTGAATATCGATTAATGAATTTTATTGCTTTAAAGGAATGAAACAATTTTGAATGGTTTTGAGATATGAAGATATTTTAAATCGAATAAAATTGTTTTTGAGAAAAGAAATATGTTGGGAAGTAAATGATTAGAATATATTGATTTTAAAGAAAAAGAAAAGGATAATTTGTTTGTTCGTATAATCGTGATTATATGCCATTTAATGTTTAGATTATAGTGTTATATATGACGAATTTACGAATGTACATATTATTGTATATCTTGAACAAAAATTTTATTTCTGGTTATTGCTTAATGATAAATATATCATCTTGTTAATCATGCTTTTCTTCGCGATATACAATTTTCAAGATATATAACCTCCTAATATCAGCTTCAAAAGAATCATGTCTGAAACACGGTATTTATTAAGAATGCCTCCTTTGAAACAGATCTGAATCGTATATATATGCGTTTTAAAATACCTTTGATGGCAATGGAGAAGTACTTGCAGCATCTCATCCAATGTCTCTCTATTGAAACATCTTTGAAATGGACTTATAAAATATACCAGAAATCTTTTATGGAAACATCTGTAATACATCATACTTACTTAGAAACGCCTATATATGGCGAATATCGATCCATCTTCTAACGTCTCTTGTGCACTGCATAATTTATAACAAAACAGGTCTTAATTTGAATCAAATTATTCAATTCAATTTACACGCTTCAGATATTTACAATACGTATATTTCATGATGAATTAAAATTTTCTAACTTTTTAAATAATTTTATTTATAGTAATTTTTAAAGTATTTTCAATTTTGAATTACGTCGTAATTTAAAAAACTGTTGAAATTTGTAACGGCAGAGATTATCCTTAAATCATGTTAGAAGAGAGAGTTGTAGATCAGCGAAACGTTGCACACATTTTTTCCAGGGAATATATGTTACGACAAACCTTTATCCAACGTTAATACCGTAGCTTGTGGATCGTGCACAGAATGGCTATTTTATCGAGTCTACGTAAATTGACGAATATGGTACTCTTGAAAAAAAAAAAAAAAAAGAAGAAGAAGAAAAGAAAGAGAGAACTGGTAAGGAGTTATTACCGTTTCGTTGCTACTTCTCGTTTCTCTTGAACAACCTTGGATTGTACAAAGGATTTCAGATAAGGGTACGTGTAATGATGCAACGTTGCAAACGGTAATCCCAAGAAAAAGGCAATCTATTACGGGATAAAGTATTTACGTGTAACGATAAAAATTGACTTTGATAAAAAAAAATATAAAAAATAGTGGTTCTGATCGAAACAAAATTGGACTACTTAGTTAGCCTTAGCGACATAAATACTGGTTCTACGTACCTGTATATATAAAAATAAATTGAAATACAAGATAAAGTGTATGGAATTACGAGAATGTCGATCGATTTCAAAATCTTAGAGAGAATCTCCATAACACGAAAATAAAGTTTCTCGGATACTATGCAAGGAATTTAATCATAATAAATCACAGGAATTACAGTAATACGTATGAAAAACGTGTCGTCCAGACACGTGGCAGACACACGTGGCAGAATGTGAATAAAGATTTCAGATTTTTCTCGCGTGAATTTTGTCGAGAATTTAAAAACACGTAGTCAGTTTTTATAATAAAAGCTTATGTCGAATCGAAATTTTACGAATTCCACGAATATCTCCTCAATTTTTACATCTTGATTGACCTGGAATCGCCGATTGAATCATTGATCACAATCTCGGTGATCGTAATTTACACGCGCGGATGTTTGCACGTCGCAAATTTTGCGAGTCGTTATCAGTGATACGATGCAATTTCATCGCATTGTAAAGCAGAGCCACGTGAGTTCTGACCAATATGTAAAAAAAAAAATTTTGAAATCTCTATGAAAAAAACGAAACGTGGAATTCTCGTTCGATTATCCATCTGCTTATTCGCAGAATATATATACTTATTGAGAATAAACATATTAATATAAATATATATATTATAGTGTGATTATCGTATTTGTTTCAGAATTTGGTATATGGGTCTTTGTTGGATATTAAGAGGCCTGAAGCGGCAACAACAATTAACGGATCGTAGGTCGCGATGGTTGAAAGAGAAATATCTTCAGCTTTATTTCGAGGAAGGTTGCCTCGAGCCGATGACAGCTGACGCTATAAGGGCTTTCGGCGGTCGCGATTGGTCCATGACTGAAAGTATTGGAACGCTTTCACCGACGAGTAGCGGTAATCTTCGTAAACGAAACGCCAAAGGGAAGAAAACGAAATCCATCGGCAATATTCACGCGTTAACAAAGGTTCGTTTCACTTATTCTATTATTTCTTTCTATAATATAAATATTATATTCCCTTATACTGATTCACTCTTAATTAATCCATAAATTAATCTTTAAATTCGAATATTTTGATAATTTGATCGAATAAGTTTTCGTTAAAAAATAATATTACAACACGTGATTATTTGATACATAATAAATTTGTCACGCTCGGATGGAAAATTTTATTCTTCGAGTCAATTCACAATTGGACGATTCGAATGGAATAATAAAAGTAAATTGGAAAAATAAATTGATAAAAATTCGTTCGAGGGATTTCTCATCTAATAAGATATTACGCGTGATTGTTTAAAACAGGATTTGAGCCTAAAGCAATTCGACTCCTCGTCTTCGGATGGAGGCTTATCAACGGCCCCACTTCGGCATATTACGGGTAGCAGGGAATCCTTGACGAGAATCATACCGGCATCCCCACGGTCTAGCAGGGATCGAGTACCCCCACGCAGCCCTCCCGGATCAGCCGAACGAATTATTAGTTCCAACTTGCCTTACTCCAGCTTTCAGAGGTAAGGATTCCGATAATTTTCGCCCCTCTGAAAGGAATTGGACGAGAAGAAGGCGAAGAATAGAGAAGTAGAGAATAACTCGACTTTTCAAACTCTAGAAATTCCCGATAGTTCTTGATTACTTCCGCCCTCTCGATTAATTGCACCCCATTATTCCTTAAAGCTGCAACATCAACAGCATAGCGAACCGAGATAAAAAGACACTCGTGCCTTTCTTATTCTTCTTTTTCCTTTTTTACGTAAAATCAAGTCTTCCGTCTTGCCAATTAATTAAATCTCTGATTATATAATATTATAAATTAATTTTATATTTTCCGTGTCTCGTGAAATTAAATTAATTGATTAATCAAATTCGCGTATTTTCTAGTCTCTCTCTTTCTCTCTCTTAACGAATTGAAATTCCAAAAATTCAGTAAAACTTTACTTTTAACATTGCATCGTGGAGAGTTTCATCCATGATTCTTTATCGAGAGAATAAAAATTTAATTCAAAGAATAATTCGCATTGCGAACTTATCTTCGAATTTTATATAATAATAATAATAATAATCCACCCTCATCTTCTTATTAATTGCATTATTAATTGTTAAAAAGATATTGAAATAAATCGTAACATCCGGTAACATTGTTTCAAATGGTACTCACACAGCCTATTGTGCGTCGCTAGAGACAAGGATAAGAATGGATCGGGAATGTCAGGTGGGCTGGAGGCACCTTGGCAAGTGAAAGCGCGCACCACTTCCATAATGTACGAAACGCAGTTGAACTTTGTCGAGTTCGTCGCTTTGTTCCGCTCGTTCAGCCTGAGAGCGAGAAAGGATTTGCGCGACTTATTCGGCCAACTTGCGATCACTTGCCGTAGCCAGAGCGACGGCTCTTTGAGAGACTTTAATGTACGCCCGCCTGTGTTGAGGCAGACCAGTGATGCGACCCCTCAACGAATCGGTCAGTTTACGTTATTTTATATATCGTTAATTTAATTACCAACAATATTCTAGACAACAAGTGGTTTCGATTTCGAGTTTTTTTACAAATTTCAATTTTTTAATTCTACATTGACACGTTCAATGCGATTTTATTATATTTTTAAGAAATATAAAAGATGCGAACAAGAGTTTTCGATCGTTCATATCAGAGTTTTCCATTTGCATATCATTTGTTCTGTACGAGGATCGATAGATTGTTTTGAATTTCGTTGTATTTTTTCATCCTTTCCACTATTTTTCAAAAAAAAAAAATCGATATCCGCCATCATCTCTGATCTGTGATGTCGCATCGGATGTGTCAAGCAATTATAATTTTTCTTCCAAAATACTATCGACTGAAATAAAATTTCGATAAATTATTCTCTTATATTAATATTTCTCTTAAACGAAACGTGTTGTAAAGAATTCGAAGACAAGTTTCACGAATAGATCGTTTTTTTTCAATTTTGTTAATCAAAAATATCGTCCAAACAGGTCTTTTAACGAGGAATAATTCCATAGACTGTCGTGAGTACAAAACCAGCAGCAACCTTCAAAAGAAGCAAGTTTTTGACGCGGTGGCTGCAGCCAGTATCGTTAATAATTGTTCTGGCGTTGATACCTCGAAATCCCAAGTAATCACCCTGGCGACGTTCACTAAATTTTTGGAATCTCGTCAACAAGAGAAATTGACCGACGATGAAATCAAGGCGTTGGTCAAGGTACGTAAAAATATATCGAAACATAACGAGCTTCTTTTACTTTTGTCCAAATTAAAAAGTTCAACGCCCATGAAAAAATAAATCGACGTTTATTTTTCTTCTTTTATTTATAGAATAAAAATAAACGAAAGAGAACTTTATTTTTTTTTTTTTTTACATATATATAAATTATGCGAATAAAATATCGTGAATATTCATTGCAGCGTGACGAAACGGTTGTTTATTTAAAAAAAAAGAGGAAAGAAAATAATATATATTCAAACGAAATATGGAAATACGCATTGAATAAACAATCGCAGTTAATACGATGATATTATATAAAAAAATATTTCGAGTAAAAATATATAATGAATTGACATTGGAAGACATTGAATGACAATTTAAATAATGAAAAATCAATATGATATTATTTCATCGTTCACTGTTTGCGCATGATATTTGACGATATACAATGCCAAAATATAAAATTATTTCGTCGTGTAAATTGATTTTAAAATTTAGATATTTTTTTTTTTTTTTTTTTTTTTTTTTTTTTTTTTTTTTTTT